TTTGGAGACTTTGTTCTAAAACCTTGAAGATTCAAAGGGTTTCAACTCCAAGAAATTGAACTTGGGTCTCAAAGATTCTTCACTCTTGATGTGTTTTAAGACTTAATCCTTCATACCCAGTTGATGAAAACTGATATTGGTATATATTTTTATCTCTTTTACATGTCTAGCTAAATCCCCAATTCTTGGGGTAAGGTTTTGTGAATATGGGTTAGATTATCTATTGGGTCTTGCTTGTTGATGGTTTATTTGTTGTTTAAATGTGATTTTGTTTAGTAGTTGTATATGAACTTAATGAAGTTGTAGTTGAAAATACGATTTCATCTTAGTGTTTGTGGCATGCTCGAGAGAGAGGACGTAAAACTGAGACTACTAAATTGATAGCCGGTGGTATTGGGTCGACATGGGTTCAACTCAAGAAAGTGAATCCTAGTCCTTCTCCCACACATTCAGCTCGAGAGAGTGAATGGACTAAGACGGAGGTTGTGCTTAAAGCGACAACTCAATATTCGAGAGAAACCGAGTCGATTCGGGGTAAGTTGCTCGACAGAGAATTTACCTCCACTATAGTCTGGCCTAGTCACAAATACTCAACAATTTACTATCAAAAGCATGTACTCGACAGTTTAGTTTATCCCGTATTCCTATCACATCCTATGAATCCCGTCTCTCTATCTAGTTTTCATATATTTTCGCTATTTGTAGTTGTTAATTAATACAAAACCCCCCATTTATAATTGACGCTTGCATTACCCCCTTTGGATTTAGTATGTTAATATTCGATAATGTCTACAGTTATGACTAATTAGAACTAAATTTTATTTTTCTATTAATTCTCAAAACCACTCCCTTGGGACTCTACCCCAACCGTTGGTTGGATTACTTTACTATTGTACGATCGTAGACACTTGAATTGGAAGTTGTGTCTTGATTACACAAACATCAAAATGGCACCGTTGCCGGGGAGTGGTGTTAGTTGAGAATTTTTAGTTAAGTTGAATTTTGTTCTTGTTAATTATAGTTGAACTTACCAAATTTTTAGTTTTGGTTTTGAATGGAAAAATTGAGCATATCTGCTAACAACGGTAACCCAATAAACCAACCTCCTCTGAAAATGATGATGCTAAGGGATAGCATCCTAAGTTTTAATAAATTGGAGGGTGAGTCAGTTGATGAGTTGTGGCAAAGGTTTAAGGCTCTCTTGCAGTAGAGTCCGACTCATGGAATTCCAGATAAGATGCTTCTGGAATCTCTATCCAGAGTCGGAAGAGGGGTTGCCTTATGAAAGTGAGGCAAGCCCTACTAATGGAACTTAAGTGGGGACTTGCGTCGTGCCACGACGTTAACTAAGGTGCTACTTGGGAGGCAACCCAATACCCCTTATCGCTTTATTTTTTCTTTAAGAAATAATGGTGTGTTGGTTGTGTAGGTCGAAATGGGAAAGTTGTTGAAAAGTGCAGATTAGTGAGCAAAAGGTCCAGTTGGTGCATTGCCGAAGAGGTCGGTGACCCCGACCCAGACCGCCGTTGGACTCAAGACAATTTTACATTGGAGTATGTGAAAGTCGGCGAGCACAGGAAATTATTGGCAAATCACCGACCAGGTTGGCGATCCCGATCTAATCCGTCGTTTGGATCCCCACATCAACTGAGGATCCAGTAAAACTCGGCGAGGTAAGTGACCACTTGGCGTGTCACCGAGTCGGTCGGTGGGCACGACTAATGTCACCGAATGGGGGAGAACTGGATGGTTTCTTAAAAGACCAAAGGTTTAAACTTTCAAACTCTTCACTTTTCCTCACTTTCAATCGTCACAAACTCACACCCGCACCTTAGTTTCTATATTTTTGCAATTTCAAAGTATTTTAGTCGTTGATTTGTGTTCGGAGTGGATTACATCGCCGCTTGGCATTTCAAAAATATTTTAATCGACATCTAAGGTTGGTTTTCCGAACCCCAAATTTATTTTAAGCAATTTTGTACTCATTTGCAATGATCTTATCTTAGTAATGTGTGTTGGGCCTCTCTGATCTTAATTGTTTTTGCTTATGCCTGTGAAAATCTTTCCCGTAGTATTTATATTGTTAAAATCCCGTATTTTTATGCCTTTAAATCGGTTAAATCTTGTGGGGTTGTGCTTGCATGTTGTTGAGTCTAGCAGGGAGAAGTTTGAGTATCCCGAAGATATGGTAAAGACCAATATTGTCATGCCACCCTTGGCACCTCCTAGTGGGTCTGGTACTGCTGTTTTTCTTTTGAGGCGACTTCGGGTATTGAGACCCAGGACTAGAGTGATGCACTGGGCACTGATGCCCAGACAGATGGAGCAAGTGTGTAGACAGAACCCCCTCTTTACCTCCCTCTCTGTCTTACTTTATTTCACTTTTGGAGATTTTTATTTGCATTTGAGGACAAATGTTTTTCATTTGTGGTGGGGTGAGTCCCATCTTTGTGTGCTATTCATGAATCGTGTTTTGTTTATGTATTTGCGTTGTAAGTTATAATTGAGTTAATATTGCTTTCGTGGAAGGTTTGAGCTTGTGGCTTCTTTTGCTTTAAATTGCAAATGATTTTGACCCTTTAGAATTTTTTTTTGCCACCTCTTGTTTATTTTGAATGTGGTTGTTCTTTTGCAAATTTGAGTATCGGTTTTGATCAATACCGATGACTTAAATAGTGCTCATAATCGAACAAACATGAATGTGCGGCTACGATGAGGCCAAATGAAGGTGCATAGACAATATGTGAACTCTTTGCATCTCGTTGGCTAATTATTAAATCGAGTCTCTTGTGATGATCGTTGCACACTAGCGAAAGTGTGAGGTCTTGTTTGACTTTAGTGTCGATGCCTTGTGTGATGAGTTTACTGTGAACCATGCATGACAACACCTAGAATTTACCCCGTTGGTCCAGTCAACTAAGTAAGGCTATCTTTTGATATGATCTTAGGCAACTTTTAAGAGTGTGAGCCAATTTGACATATACCTCTTTTGTGGCCTACCTTGTGAGTGTGTGTGAACCTCTTTTAAACACCCCTTGAGCCTTACCTTTCTTTGGAAGAAACTTGATGAAAACAATGACCTTTCTTTATCCATCACCCATAATCCTCATGAAGTTGTGGTTTTTTTTGAATAGCCAACTTTGGCCAAAAGCCTAAGTTGGCGGTGTGGTGAAAAGAGAAGGCAAATCAAGAAATACAAGAAAGTCCCTTCTACCCATGATTTTGTAAAAAATGAAACCCTTCCATGAAAAAAAAGAAGAAAAAGAAAAAGAACGAAAAAGTTGTGGAATAAAGTTATGAAAGTACAAAGAAAATTGGGGTTTGCAACTATCCCTGGGAAGTGAATAATAGGACTACTTGTGAGCATAAATGAGAATGATGAAAGAAGATGAAAGGGAGTGTTATTCAACCTTTGTTTCATGAGGATTATAGCCACTGAGCCTAAATGACCATACCTTTGCACTCAACTCCATTGCAAGCCTTGAAAGACCTTTGTGATCTTGAGTGAGCTGAAGCAAGTGTTGCTTGGAAAATACGGGAAAACCTATGCGTGAAATTATGCATTGTGTTCATCGTTGTGAGTGTGAGCATTAAATTTAATTCCAAAGCTTTAAACTGTGAACCATTGTGTGAATATAGAATCATTCTTTATGTGAGGGCATTTGAACACTTTGGTTGAGCTTGAACTTGCATTTGAAGCAAGTATTGTGAGCATGAGATTCTTCGATATTGGTGAGTCACAACTTGAACCTTTGAGTGCACAATTGATCTTTGCATGAGTAAAGTGAGTCTTGTTGTGTGCATTCATGATTGATTCTTATGTATCACTGTTTGATATACCCTTTTTGAACAACTGAACTCGAGTTGCTTGAGGACAAGCAAAAGTTTAAGTTGGGGGTTTTGATGAGTCCACAATTTGGACTCATTTTGGGCTATATTTTGATAGTATTAGTGTCCTTAAATGCATATTTTGTCTCAATATCTGATGAAAATCCTTAAGTTTCAGGCATTTGGAGTTTGAGGCAAAGCATGGACACTACTTGGCAAGAAGGAACAAGGCGGATGAAAAGAACGAATAAATGAATGCCTGAAGATCGCCGAGCCCAGGTGGCGAGTCACTGATTGGCCTGGAGATCGCCTTTATTCTTGACGTGTTTTAAGACTTAATCCTTTATACCTAGTTGATGGAAACTGATATTGGTATAAATTTTTTTCTCTTTTACATGTCTAGCTAAATCCGCAATTCTTGGGTTGTGATTTTGTGAATATGGGTTAGATTATCTGTTGGTTTTGCTTGTTGATGGTTTATTTGTTGTTTAAATGTGATTTTGTTTAGTAGTTGTGTATGAACTTAATGGAGTTGTAGTTGCAAATACGATTTCATCTTAGTGTTTGTGGCATGCTTGGGAGAGAGGTCGTAAAACTAAGACTACTAAATTGATAGCCGGTGGTATTGGGTCGACATGGGTTCAGCTCGAGAGAGTGAATCCTAGTCCTTCTCCCACACATTCAGCTCGAGAGAGTGAATGGTATAATGCGGAGGCTATGCTTAAAGTGGTGACTTAGTGTTCGAGAGAAATCGAGTCGATTCGAGGTAAGTTGCTCGAGAGAGAATTTACCCCACTATAGTCTAGCCAAGTCACAAATACTCAATAATTTACTATCAAAAGCATGTACCCGACAATTTAGTTTATCCCGTATTCCTGTCACATCTCAAGAATCCCATCTCTCTATCTAGTTTTCGTATATTTTCGCTGTTTGTAGTTGTTAATTAATACAAAACCCCCAATTGATAATTGACGCTTGCATCACCCCCTTTAGATTTAGTATGTTTATATTCGATAATGTCTATAGCTATGACTAATTAGAACTAAATTTTATTTTTCTATTAATTCTCAAAACCACACCCTGGGACTCGACCCCAACCCTTGGTTGGGTTACTCTACTATTGTACGATCGTAGACACTTGAATTGGAAGTTATGTCTTGATTACGCAAACATCACTGGCCATTGGCCTTGAACCTCTCGCCCTTATAATATTCAAGATCAATAGCCGACTGGAACACCTGAGTTACCTTAAAAGGTCCAGACCATTTGGATCTCAACTTTCCCGAAAGTAGACGAAGTCTGGAGTTGACAAGTAACACAAAGTCACGAGGATTAAAGGTTCTCTTCTCAATATGCTTATCATGATACAAATTCATCCTCTTCTTGCATAGTGCAGACTTCTCATATGCTCTCAAACGGAGCTCATCCATCTCATTGATCTGATCCAATCTCAGGTTTGTTGTTTCACCCCAACTAAGATTTAGCTTCTTCAATGCCCAAAGTGCCTTATGCTCAAGCTCAACTGGCAAATGACTTGCCTTTACAAACACCAATTGATATGGAGACATACCAATATGCGTCTTGAAGCTGTCCGATATGCCCATAGAGCATCATCTAACTTTCGTGACCAATCTTTCCTATTGGCATTCACTATTTTTTGGCAAAATTGCCTTTATTTCTCTATTGGACACCTCCACTTGGTCACTGGTCTGCGGATGATAAGGAGTTGCCACCTTGTGCTATTTAACCCTATATTTGGCCATAAGTTCCCTGAATACCTTGTTGCAAAAGTGGGAACCGCCTTCACTGATAATGCTCTGGGTGTGCCGAACCTTGAGAAGATATTCTTCTTTAGAAAGCCAGCAACACTCTTGACAGCATTCTCAGGAAAAGCAACTGCGTCAACCCATTTGGACACATAGTCCATTGCCACCAATATATACTTTTGTCCATAGGAGCTCACAAATGGGCCCATGAAATCAACTCCCCATACATCAAATAGCTCTACCTCCAGAATAGGTGTCATGGGTAGCTCGTGGCATTTAGAGATAGCTCCTTGCTGCTGGCACACATCATAACTCCTCACTATATCCATTGAATCTTTATGAATTGTGGGCCAGTAACACCTACACTGAAGTACCTTATGGGTTGTTCGAGCGCCTCCATGATGGCCACCTACTGGAGAGGAGTGACATGCCTCTAGAATGTGCAACATGTCAACTTCAGGGATGCATCGTCTGATGATATTATCAGCACACACCCCGTACAAATAAGGTTCATCCCAAAAATACTTACCCACATCATGCATGAACCTCTTACTTTGCTGAAATGTGATCCCCTCAAGCATTAAGTCACTAACAAGGAAGTTAGCAAAATCAGCAAACCAAGGAATAAAATCAAGAGTAGCAGCTAATACCTTCTCATCCGGGAACGGGTCATTGATTTCTAGCTCAAGTTCCTCTTTTTTTTCGGCCTACAACCTAGACAAGTGATTAGACACTTGGTTTTCAACACTCTTCTATCCTTAACCTCAAAATCAAACTCCTGAAGTAGCAACACCCATCTGATCAACCTTGGCTTGGCATTTTTTTTGCCATTAGGTATCGCAGAGTTGTATGATCCGTGTGAACTATCACTCTAGTACCTAGCAAGTAAGCTCTGAATTTCTTGAAAGCATATACCCAACCAGTAGTTCTTGTTCAGTGACTATGTAGTTTCAGTGTGCTACATTTATTGACTTGCTAGCATAATAGATCAGATGGAACATCTTATTGAACATTTTCCCCAACACAACTCCTAGGGCAGTGCCACTAGCATCGCACATTATCTCAAAAGCCTCAACCCAATCTGGGCCAATGGTCACCGGGGCAGAAATTATTTTCTCTTTCAGGCATTCAAAAGGTCTTAGACATGCCTCATCAAAAGTACATCTCACCTCCTTCTCCAAAAGCTTACACAAATGGTGTGCAATTTTTGAGAAGTCCTTGATGAAATGCCTATAAAACCCGGCATGTCCTAAGAAGCTTCGAACACCCTTCACACAGATAGGTGGAGGCAACTTTTCAATCACCTCAATTGTGGCCTTGTCGATCTCTAATCCCTTTTGTGACACCTTCTGACCAAGGACTATGCCTTCCTTGACCATGAAATGGCACTTCTCCTAATTCAGCACTAGATTGGCCTCCCTACATCTCTATAATGCCCTGCTAAGATTGAGAAAACAGTCATCAAAGGTATCACCTGCCACTGAAAAGTCGTCCATTAATACCTCTAGAGTGTCCTCCACCATGTCCGAAACGATAGACATCATACACCTCTGGAAAGTTGATGGTGCATTACATAGTCCAAATGGCATGCATTTAAACGCAAAGGTGCCATAAGGACATGTAAATGTGGTATTTTCCTGATCTTCAGGAGCAATTGATATCTGGTTGTAGCCAGAGTATCCATGTAAGAAACAGTACCACCCTTTTCCAGCCAGCCTGTCAAGCATCTGGTCCATGAAAGGCATTGGGAAGTGATCCTTCAAGGTCCACTTGTTCAGCTTCCTGTAGTCCATGTACACTCGCCATCCAGTGATTGGTCTTTGTAGGACCAACTCATTCTTTGCGTTCGCCACCACTGTCATGCCTCTATTTCTGGGCACACATTGCACTGGGCTGACCTAGTGACTGTCAGAAATAGGGTACACCACCACAACATCTAACCACTTGATGATCTCCCTATTGACCACCTCTTTTGCATTGGTGGGTTTAACCTTCGCTGGTGCTCAATGCTTGGGCTGCATTCCTCCTCAAGTTGGATCTTATGAGTGCATATACCCAGAGGTATCCCGATGACGTCAGTAATGGTCCACCCAATTGCCCTTTTGTACCTTATCAACACTTTGATCACAACTTGAACCTGTTCATCATTTAAATCTGCAGCCAAAATCATAAGCAAAGTACTGTTAGAGCCCAAAAATACATACCTCACGTGACTGGGTAATTATTTCAATTCCAACACCGGTGGCTCCTCAATGGATGGTTTTGCTGGAAGGCTTGGCCTGTTTTTCAAATCCAAGTCCAGTTTCTTTGGAACATAAGAGTGTGTTCCCATACCCTGTAAGGCATTTACAATTTCCACATAGTTAGTCCGGAAATCTTCTTCAAAATTCATCAACAAGGCTGGTAATGTTTCAACAGCCAGCCTCTCCTCAATGGTTGCTCCCATCTCTTCTTCATCAAAAAGCTCTATCGCAGACACCACATTCATGTAATATGGATGTTTCATTGAAATGCAAATATTAAACTTTACCTCATCTTTGTTGAGTCTAAATTTCAGTTCTCCTCTCTCAACATCTACCAATGCTCGTCCTGTGGCCAGAAATGGTCTTCCCAAAATTATGGGAACCTCTAAATCCACTTCGCAATCCAAGATCACGAAGTCTGCTGGAATGGTGAACGTGTCCACCTTTACGAGCACATCACATAGGATGCCTACAAGTCGCTTTACTAACCTATCTGCCATCATCAACTTGATTGTTGTGGGTTTTGGAACTCCTAACCACAGTTGCTTGTAGATGGCCAGCAATATCAAGTTTATACTGGCCCCTAAGTCACACAAGGCCTTTGCAAATTTGATTGATCCGATGATGCATGGTATGGTGAATGCACCCGGATCCTCCTTCTTCTGTACCAAAAATCTAGTAGCAATAGCACTGCAATGATGAACATTGTCATTCAAATCAATATTCACACCTTTTTTTTTGTAACGAAGTCTTTCATGAACTTGGCATTTCCTGGTATCTGCTCAAGGGCATCAACCAATGGTATGTTCACTGACAGCTGTCTCAGCATGGTGATGAACTTCGCAAATTTCCCATCTCGACTTTCTTTTTAAGCCGTTGAGAGAAAGGAGAAGGTGGTCTTGGGATCTCCTGTAAAGGCATAGTTCCCTCAACCTTTTTTTCCTTTCCTCATGCGGGTTGTGCTATTGGTTGAGCATCCTCCAAGTCATCTACTTGTTCAACTTCAACCTCCTCTCTTCCTGTTTGCTCCACCACCTGTTCATACTTGGTACATGCAAACCTTGGGTTATTAAGAATCTTACCACTCCTGGTGGCAATTGCCATGCAATGCCCATCCTTCTTAGGATTTTGAATAGTATCACTAGGCAGTGAACCATTTTTCCTTTGATTTAGTGATACTGAAAGCTGCCCCAACTGTTGCTCTATTTGCTTGATGGAGGTGGTGTGACAGTCTACCAGTTGACTTATATTGGAGAAATCACTTTTCATCTCCTTCACCCTTGCATCAGTTGACTCAACTCTTTTGAGCACCTTGGCCAACATGTTTTCCAGCTTAGACCCGCTGGACCTACCACTTGCCCGATCTCTATTACCTGGGGCACATACACACCACTGCGATCATTTCTGTACCTGTCACGACCCAGGAGTATCCCCTATACGTAACATGGTGTACTTGATCCCGAAGGGGTCTCATACAAACCTCTAGCATCATCATTACATAAGACATTGAATTAACACGGAATTTAAAACTTTACAATCGAAGTTCAACTTCACTTTTCATAAAAGAAAGTAATAGGAAAAGTCTAGACTTTGTCTCATAGCACCATCTATAACATAGGAATACAAAGTTTGGGAGTTAGCCCTTATACATTAATAAAAATTTCAACATGAGAGGTACAATAGAACTAGAAAATAGGAAATCCCGTCCTCAAACTTGAGGACTCACCAATACTCGGAGAAACCAATCCAAGTCTTCTTCAAAGGAGAGAGTGAAAGTCACCTAGCCGGAACTTACACTCATTAAGATGTAGAAGGAAGAAGGGGTTACCACATAATATGTACTAAGTATGGAAACATGCATAAAAACCTTATATATGATAAAAAGGACATTTTGTTAGAAAAGTATGCCTTTGCCACGTTTAGAAACCAACATGTATTTACAATGTACAACACAATTCTAATCACATTTATACTCACTACATGGTAATATATACACCTTAGCAGCCTCTAAGGAACAATTGTGCAATGTATGGTTCGCATCATATAATACCAACCCTACTAAATGTCCCCTTGAAGTTCCCTTGGTCATGCATATCATCTTCAAACCTCATTATAATCATTAGTCACCAATAAGGAAATAATCATGAACATTACTTTGAATACAAGGAAAGTGATTCATAATAACTAACAATTCAAGATATACGTATGTATTCGTATCTCATTACAATAATAAGGAACCATCCCACAACACCCTACCAAGTCCACTTGTGCAATGTGGGAGTGAAGTCCCATACCCCCACTCCTACTAAGTAAACTCACCTAGAGGTCATAGCATATTCCATGTCTCATTCATTATCATTCATTTAGGGAAGAATAGGATAACCAACATAGACCATTTGAGCTACATGGAATCTAGTGTCGTGTAACCCCACACCGAAAGAAGGTGTCCTACCTGCCTAAGGTAGGACTAAGTGTATAGCGTCTAGGTGGATCCACTACCTAAGTCCTATGTTGGCACATTGTTATGGGATAGGGAGATTACTTCTAGAAACCCGCCCTATTGCATTGGCAAAGGGCTTCCATCTCATGAGTTCA